TGTATGTATGTATATACACACAATTTTTTTCCTCCAGAATAAAATGAATGTATGCAATCAAATTCACTTTTTACCTGTCTTGGTTAATTGCATCTGCATTACCTGAATCTTCCCTTTTAAGAGACTAAACCTGCAGTCATAAGACAAAGTTGTTAAAGCCTGACATTTAGAAAGGGACCATAAGTCCCAGCTGAACACCTGAAAGAGCAACATGTCTGTGATAACTCTAGGTTGGTCAATATTATTTAAATGTTTACTTTGTACTCAGAATTCTAACATTAAGCACAACATTTTAGAAATCTTGATTCTCATCCTCCGAAGGTCTGAAATAAAATAAGTACAGACAGTGTTTCTATTTTTACTTCATTTTATCCACACTGTTATTTATCCACACTGAGTTATTTTTCACTATCATTTTACACTAGTAACAGATTGTTAGCTAATTATATTAATTGTACCGATCAATACTGAGCAGTTTTCAGTACACTAATAGGAGTTTTCATTAAATGCATGGGGAACAGCACTGTTAACTATGGGCAAAGCTTTACATTCCTTTTTTGTGTATCCAGAGAACATTCAGTGCTTCTGAATTTCATAGAGGAGAGGTGCTATGCAAAAACTATATAATTTAAATTTTATCAGATTACTGAAGGAAAACATTTGAGACAGTTCAGTTTTATACTTCTTACTTTGGAAGGAGCCAGGAGCTTCTCTGGCTTGAAGGACAAGCTGGGGCAGCCCTTCACCACTGTGTTTAACAGCACCCAGAGTTACATCCAACAGGGAGGAAAGAAAGCCAGAGAGCAACACATTGCGGTCATTCCYGTCTTTTCCCTGCCCTGGCATGCTCCCTGTGCTAGAGCTTGGAAAAGAGCTCACACAGAGACATTTTGGAAGCTCTCCACCTGGGCTATTCTCCAGACAGCATTTACAGGCCTTTCATGTCACCAGGACAGTCTGAAAGGGACCAGCTACATTTCCAACTTTGCACTTGAAAGACTGTTCCTGCAAAATATTTTGTTTGTTTGTTTGAAGTATGAGTACTTACACCATATGGCTCTATGGTTTTATTGATTTTCTAATTTCAATACTTCATATGCACTCTTCCCAGTGTACAGTGGCTGATCTTATGGAACTGATTTCTTTGCTCTTTGAGGATAAAAACCTAAACTCTGAGTAAAAGGGGGTGGTAAAACCAGGAAATGTGAAAATCTGCCTGCTGAGGGTGGTGGAGGAAGCTACTGTGCTCAAAGAAACCTGCTAGAAAATTTATTCTTTACTGTAATCTAATCTTCTCACTTCAGCATAAAGGTGTTTTAAACTTGTTAGTTTTCAATATGTATCTCAAAAGATGCAATACCAAGTTCATGGTAGCCTCTTTAATGACACAGTCCCCAGGTTGTTGATGTTTGCCTCATGACAGAAGCTGTACCCTAACATTTCTGTCCAGAACATTTTGAAAGCACTTCCCTTTATTAGTAATGGGTAAACTCAACCACTTGGGCATGTTAGGATTAGTCTCCACACTGATATGAAGCAAGTAAAAGGTGCTTGAATACAATTTATGGTGCCTCATCCCCTTTATCACTGTAGTCTGCAGTTTGTCACACTGATATCACCATAAGGCCTGTTTCTTGTTTCTATGAGTTTCTTGTTTCTTTAGCTATTGCAAAGTCTTGTAATTAAGAGCTGAAGTTTTCCTATAATCAAACTGAGAACAAAGAGCCAACATGTCATCATACCCCAGCATCGAAAGGTATTGCCACATCTGTTACCCGTAAAGAAATACAGGGTCCAGTTCATAAAAATAGTGCCTGTGATTTCTGCATTTAGTTCTGTACAGTTTATGGAGGTAGACATGTGCTTGCTGTGAAACACAGTGATATACCCTGTCTCCTCTACATATAATGTGGGACTAAATACAAGCAGAGTAAGGGATTATTCTAGCCAAACTAAATGATGGAATCAACCAAAAATGGGGATAGAATGATTTTGGCTCAAATATGCACACTTTGTTTATTCATTATAAAAGTGTGTGCATGTATGTATATACTTATTTATTGAAATATTTTCATTGTGCAAATTAAACGTGCCTTGAGGCAGACTTCATTTATTTGCTGGCAAGTCACATGGATTTTCTCTCTATTTGTTGAACCCTTCTTAAAAGGAAACTAATCTCCTGAGAGGCCCTGAATTATTCCCCTCACTGCCYTGCTGCACTAGAAATACTTCCAGGGCTCAAATCCTAGCTGCAGGTATATTGGTACAAGCCCTTCCACGTGTGTGCAGTCCAGACACACCAGTTCACTGTGCTTGGGAAGCACTTTTGCCTGTTAGTGAGTCCTTGCAGATATTACTTTCTAGTATTCAGTGTTTTTACCAGTGTTCTGGAAGAAATATAAAATCAACACTTGGAAAGTTTAGTGATCATTACAGCAACATGATAATGAAGATGGAAAGGTCTGCCTAACTTAGCAAAATACATCTTTTTGATTGCATTGCAGATTGTGGCCAATGTGCTGTAGAAGTCAGTTAGATGAGAAAAAGGGCAGAGATTGTAAGCAGGGAAACTGTAGCTTTGAAAAGAATATAGAGTTGAATGCTTGGGTACTTAAACACAACTTCCCTATATACCAGTTCTACTAAAAGGAAAGCATTTTAAAGAACCCAGCTGAATCACTCCAAAACCCAGCTAAACTCACAAGAGAACATAGAGAGGTGACTTATCTCTAAGTGTCTTTAGAAGAAGAAAATAAATGATTTGGAGGTGGTTTTTTTTTTTTTTTTTTTTTTTTAATTCAGTGTTTCTTAAGAGTTCCTTGGCTACAAGCTAGACCTAGGAAAAGACAAATAGAAAATAAGGTATGTAGAGTTTGACAGCTAAGGTAATTAGTCAGCTGTTTGGCTGAGGTAGGTTCTTCAATTGCTTTTTAAATTCAAGATTGAAAATCTCTTTAAAGGTAATGCTTTGCTTCTGCTACAAGAAGATGGAAATTACTGTGCAAAAGAACTGTTATATGAGGTTGAGTCTTGCCTGTACTCTTGTCTTTGAAATTGAGTGTAGAACAGAGAAGGTGCCATGTACAGTGTAGAAATTTCTATCAAATAAAGATTAAATTGGATAAGCAGAGACAGTGAGATAGCAGTTTTATTCCCATCTTTAACCTCAATTTAAAAACCTGGTATGAAACAGCTTAAAAGAATTATGTTGTTATCTGTCAGTTAGCTGTCATTCCTCAGTGAAATCCATAGCTTTTGTTATTATTGCTTAAAATGTTTGAGAGACAAATGTAAAAACAGAGAGATAATGTTCAGTTTTGGCTGTGTCCTCAGAGGATACCAGATGACATTGTGAAAATACAGAAAAATAACTTGATTCTAATCAAGTAATTTGCTTGCCCAATTTGAAAAAATCTCAAGCAACAAGTCATTGAGTGGCAATAAATTTAGTTTTACAGGAAATATATTAAGTGATTTTCCTGAGGGGCGGCTTACACTTACATGGATTACTTTCTTTTTCCTAAATCAGTAGCTCAAGGTAAGAGTATTTTAACCACAGAAGAGCCTCCAAAAATAGGGTCTTACAAATTTAGAAAAGAAATGCTCCAAGCTCCTCTCTTCCCTGTCTTTTCTGATGAGAAATTGATGTTTATAACTTGCTGCTTCTACACAGATAAACAGAATCAAATGAACAGAATGAGACCAAAACTTCCATTCCACCTTCTCAAGTGGGGTTGTGTTTTTCATGCATCATTACCATTAAGCCTTTCTTGTGGCCTGAATCCTTTTGTTCTTTCACAAAGTTAATTCACCCAGGACTAAAGAGATGGAGGTGATGGCTTCAAGTTCACACCTCTTGTCCTGACAGCTTGAACTGATGACTTGATACATATTTATCTGTCCATTCCTCCAGGAAAAAAAAAAAAAAAAAAAAAAAAAAAAGTAAGATTCTGGCCAGCAGGCCCTTTTTTCTTTCCTCCAATATTTGAAGTCTTGAAATAATAAAATAATAGTGACAAGCTCAGACAATATAGTGATGTATCTGCTGTAAAACTAAGCCAAGGAAATCAGAAGTTATGCTGTTTTGCGAGGGGTAATCAATATCATACCATGGAAATTTTAAARTATTGTTCGTGTACATCAAAATATATTCTGTAAGCCAATGGAAAATACTCCTGAGCATTAACCAAAACATAACCCCTTTATCAAATCTGAATTCTGAGTATGTAACTTTGAACTCACGAAGTCATGTTTACTAATAATATATTTTGTTAAGGTAGAAAATAGGAATTTCTAAATTTTAAATATTTACTTTCCAGGCAAATTGAAAGAATGGTCCTTAGTACTGTATGGAACATCCATCCAGCCTTACTCACCAAGAAATGATTTTCCAAAAGTGGAACGAGTGCGCTCTAGTCCAGTTGAAGACCCTACAGAAGATTATGGAACAGACGACTATTCAGGTGAGTACTGTGAAGTATCCTTCATTTACTCTGTGTATTGACTGAACACATACTGAGTTGAAGGAGTAACTTCAAACTCCGCATATAAAAAATGTTTCTGTCATAGGGCTTTGTGTTGCCAATTGTATGGTCAGACATAATGCAGACTTGAACTTGCTTATTTGATATTCCCTTTTCTACATATTGTGTCTCTTGGTGATTTTGTGTTAAATCCAGACTAGGATTCTCATCTGACGGTAGGATTTGTGGCCTTTCTGGTGTGGGAAACAATTAAATGACTGAAAGTTGCCAGAAAGAAAATTACAGATARTTAACTAAAATTTGTGAAATAGAAACTACCCTGATAGTTAATCTTCTCTGACTAGAAGAATAAAGTAATATTTACAGTTCATTTAATTAGTTAGGATTKCTGTAGCACAACTTACAGTAATTATGCAGGATTTATAGTAATTATACATATGAAAATTAATATTCTGAGACTAAAACACAGTGGCTGACAGCATATCAACTCAAAATATGATTAGGTAGGGATTTTCCCATATGGGGATGGGAGCAGTGGCCAGTGACAGGACAAGGAGCAATGGGTGTAAGTTGAAACACAGGCAGTTCCATCTCCACATGAGGAAGAACCTCTTCCCTGTGAGGGTGACAGAGCCCTGGCACAGGCTGCCCAGGGTGGCTGTGGAGTCTCCTTCTCTGGAGATCTTCCAAACCCGCCTGGATGCTGTCCTGTGTCCCATGCAGGGTACTCTGTACCTGTACCTGTTGCAGGGTACCAAAAATGAGCTGACTTCAGCTTTGTTAGTGAATTATTTGTTAGTGAACTCCTTATGAATTATTATGAAATGTGATTTGTAGAGTATTACTATTTTATTTAGAGGAGCCTTACAATAGGGAGGAAACATTTAAAACTGAAGCCAAAACTGTTATCTAATCTCTACAATGGATGTTGTCATCATGAAAAATTAAATCTCAAGTAACAGGAGGGAAAAAAAAAACACTTAAGGAGGAATGGGAAGTAATGCTTGCTTTTCTATTTTATTTCTGTGACACATCATACAGTTCAGGAGTGAGAGACCAAACCTTTAGAAGAAAATATTCCAAAGAAAGAGATACATGAGGCATGGACTAGATAGAGGTCTTTCTGTGGTGTCAATTTTGGTCATAACCACCATGCTTTAGGAGAGAAAGAAGAGGAAAAAGAACAACAGAAATTATAAAGGCAGGAGAAGCATTCAGAGCCTCGGCCTTTTATTGTAGGTGCAGTGGAGAGCAGGGCTGGGGGTTAATGTAAAAAAAGGGTCGTAGAATTGTAGAATAGGATCATAGAATCATAGAATCCTAAAGGCTGGAAGGGATCCTTGCTCTAGGGGGCTGTAAGAGTTATCTAAAGGCACATAGTTATTTCAGCTGCTATATATGCTAATACCTGCAGTAGATGTAACTTACGTGTCTACTGTAAAGGTCACTGACTTCTTCAACTTTTGTTGCATGAACAAAATCACTTCAAAACAGGCTTGCCTAAATTTTAGAGGAATTTCAGTGCTGCATTTCATTTGCCAGAGAAATGAGTCACCAATATGCCCTGTGCATATATAAAGACTCTCCTTCTATAGCTGGAAGGACCTATCTGAAAACAGTAAAGGTGAGGTTCTGGTCAGATRGAAGATTTGCTAATCAGCAACTGGTGACTTTTATAACAAATAATAGCACAGAAGCAGGAGAATCAGGGCTCTAGAGGCTGGTACTTTRGGGCTGTGGTCATCACCTGAAACAGCTGTCGCTCACTCAATAACCTGAGTAGCCATCAAATAAAATCCAAAATGTTTTTCTTATTCATGAGGAAAGAATCTCTTTTGAACCAGAAGTAGTTTCTGATAGCTTCCATAGTGCTTGCTAAAAAATTGCTAAGCCCTTCTCTTTGCAGTGGAGCCAAAGAACTTCAGACCATGTAGGTAAACATAGTTATTGAAGATACTAACTACCAGCCTACCAGGGAAGTGTTAATTTTCTCCTGGATTTCTTTTTTTATTATAGGGCCTTGCAATGCAGAATGCAGTAAAGTTGGGTGTGATGGGCCAGGWCCAGACCACTGTACTGACTGTCTACACTACTACTATAAATCTAAGAATAACACACGGTAAGACCAAATAGAAAAATATTTACTTCATGGATTCCTTCATGTATGGTTTAAATTCCTTCACCTTGTCTTTGCTGCAGTCCTGGATAATTTATTTTCCTTGAAATTTGACAAATTTTCTTAGGGGTAAGAAAAAACCTATCTAATCAGACTATAAAGTACAGCCTTTGAACACCTTCTCTGATTGTTTCCCTTTCCCCTGGTTATTTTTCATAAGATGGCTCTATACAACTGCGATAGCTGTTACAGCTTCCGTGATTGAGTTTGAACGAGATAAAGAGAGATGTAGATGGTTAGAAATGATACCACAAGACTGCCTGATAAGGTTTTGCCAGGCAGACAGCATATGCTCTTGGGAAAGAAAAAGAAGACAAGAAGAGGCAGCCTGAGAGGGTCGCATTTTAGTAAACAGGTGATCCTTAGAAAAACATCAGTGCTGGTAACTTCTTGTGCTTTGCACTCATGGTGCAGTAATGTTATGCCAGGTTATTTTATTAAGAACTCTACCTTCTCTCCCTGCAGGATCTGTGTTTCCAGCTGCCCGCCTGGTCACTACAGTGCAGACAAGAAACGCTGTAAAAAATGTTCTCCCAATTGTGAAACCTGTGTTGGAGGGCACAGTGACCAGTGCATGACCTGTAAATCTGGCTACTACCTGAATGAAGTCACCAATAGCTGTATTACCAGCTGCCCAGATGGATTTTACCTCGATAAGAGTTAGTATTTCATATTTTTTCTTTATTGTAGCCTACAGAATCTGGGAAGGGCTACTGGTCTGGGGAGGTTGCTGAAATGCTTGCAACCAGGGGAAGCATACGTTCATGCATTTATCTCTGCTCGTTAATTTTTTTAGGTGCTGACTGTGATTAAGAATCTCCTCAAAAATTAATCTAAGAGTCTGCTTCCATAGATAGCTTTTAAAATTCATGCTTTGCAGGAGGATGTCTTTTTTGCTTGTGGTTAGGAGGAACAGCAACACAATGAGGGCAGTGCAAGGACAAACTGGTTTCAGGACAGAAATGGTTATCAATACTGGGGGACAACACCCTGTTTCTGAACCTAAAGCATTCTTTCTTCCCCCAAACCCAAATGCCGTGGTGCTTCTATGACCCTATGCACATAGAAGAAACAGCGAAGAAATCCTAAACAGAGACTGAACTTGAGTTATATGCTAAGAATAAATAGGCTCCCCTGGTGTAAAAGATGTTTATAGTTATATTTTTGACAGTCTTAAGTACCTGCAGTGATGTGATGACCCAAGAGCTATAATGTTCTGCCATGTGAGACACCTGGRTCAGTGTACTCCTATGATTGCTAAGGAGAGTGCCCATGTTTAATTGCCAACTTTGACTAGTAAAAATACTCAGACAGGCATTCAAGCATGTGCTTAAACCCCACTGACTTCATTTAGCTTTAGGCATGTGCTTAAAAGATAAATACGTGCTCAAGAACTTTGTTCAGCCAGATACCTTACCTTTTACTTTCTATACCAGGAAGTTTTATGTTTGTTTTTAAGGATTAGTAAGTGCAGCTGCTGCTTTGTTTTTCCATTTTCACTGTCTGAAAAGTACAGTGTGGGGAATTCCCTTCTACCTGGTCAAGATGAATAGATAAAACTTTAAGATTAAATGGGAACATCATTTTTTTCTTCTGAGAGAGGTACATAGCAATGCATCTCAAAAGGTAGGAGGTCTGAAGGCAGACATCTCCATCCAAGCAGGGAGTTTTTGAGAATAAAAGGCAACTATTAAGTAATTCATGTCTTGATTTTGTTAAGATCAGAAGTATCCTCGCAGGTATGAGGTAAGGCAGGACAGGCTGCTTGAATGGAAGGTGTAAGAGGCAAGAGGTTTACTGGAATGCATTACATTCAACACTCTATAGTCCTGCTATGGGCAAAGGTTGCTTAAGTCCACAATATAAATTATTACTGTAAATTAAACATATTAATGAAAACTTTCGAACAACCTCAAAGCATGTTCTAGTAGAATTTAGCTATTTTAACTATTAGCTGTTTTAGTCTAGCTTTCTGTTTGCATTTCTGATGTCAAACTAGAAAAGGAAGTAATCATGTAATAGTATATCCTTATAATTTTATTAAATATAACTGACAAGGCTTTTCTGGGACTTTTTCTCCTATTTTTTTATTGCTTTGTAGGTAAGATAGTTTGCCGAAAATGCAGTGAAAACTGTAAGACATGTGTTGAATTCCAAGTCTGCACAGAATGCAAACATGGCCTAAGGTAAGGAAATGATGGATGTGACTAAACACAATATTTGTAGAGGCTTATGAGTCAATGGACGTAGAAGAAAGTTATACAGCTATTTAACCTTGAGTAGCCCTCATTTCATGTGTCTTACTGCTGTGTAGATATTTTCTTGTGCCATTATGTGCCATTTGGCTAACAGTGGATTTTAGAAGACCTTTAATTTTAGGTAAAATAAAACGCATGGTCATATGGAAACCCTCTCTCTATGGCTTCTTCACTTTTTTTTGACCTATAGTGCAGCCGTCAAGGATTATTTTAGCACTAGAGCTGGTGAATTGTATTAATCCTACTGATTCATTCCTTGATAGTTGGAAACTGTTTTCTTATCTTTATTGTGTCTCCTCATACATCCAATCATTCACTTATCTCAGGTACCTCAGGCTAAATTCCATTACAATACAGTCTGCACACATATTAAATAGCAGTGGATATTTTTTCTTGGTGGAGGGACTTAATCATTCTTGAAACTGATAGGTAAAGTCCAAGCAGCAGTACACATTTCAAGCTCCCTTATGAATGAATGACCTTTAGATCCGAGTCACAAAGTTCAAAAGTCGTATAAAACTTGTAAGGGGCAGTGTGCTGCCTTTATGCCACAAAGAACATGAAGTGTCTGCAGGCGTTCTCCTTTCAGAATATGCATGTCCTGTGAATGCTTAACACTGGGCTTTTAAGTACTTCAGTCAGGTGGGTTTCCTTATTTCCACTGCCAAAAGCTGGATGTTGTTTAGAAGTTCCCGTAACAGACAAAATATATCGAAAGACCCACATTGCAACTTGTAACTTCACAGAACACAGTCTCTAAGAAAGAATTTTATTTATTACATAAGAAAGGCTTTTATGTATTTTCCTGTCAGTTAACACAAGCACTAGATTGCAGCCCTATTGAAGAAAGGAGACAAGCCTGATCTTTGTGAGAAGAGAATATGAAAGAAAAAAGGAAAAAAAAATCCCAAATTTCATATTATCTTGGGCAATATTAGTAGGCTACGGCTGCTTTTGGTAACTTCTTGAACAAACACCATCTGAGTGAGTGTGACAAATTAATGAAGTCTTGCAGGACTTCTCATACTCCCCACTTAGTCAGCACTTGCTGCCTTTTCTTTTTCTTTTTTTTTTTTTTTTTTTTGCTTCATCTATGAGCAGAGCACTGAATGGGACT